ATACACACACACACACACACACACACACACACATATATATATATATATATATATATATATATATACATAAATATGTAACAAATAATTTGAGTTAAGGTAGGTTTTATTTCGATTAATAGAGGTTTTCCGCAATGGAACGGAAGGGAATGAACAAAATTTTCTTATAGAGGTTTTCGAGGTATCGAGGTTCGATTGTAGATCTATATATAAATGGATCCTACCTTACTAAACAATTTATTGACCAATCCATTCGTTTATTTATCTATTGTAGATAGATGGAATTTCAGTTATTCCATATAGTAATTTATTAATTTATCTATTTATCATTTACTAATTCCCTTTATGATAAATAGGAAAAAATAAATCAAAATATTTAATGTTTTCAAAACTAATTTTTTGAAATTTCTTGAAAAAATTTTATTATACTGAACACCGCAGTAGTACCTTTTCTATGGAATATATAATAATGCATTAATTTATCTATTTATTATTCACTCTTATGACAGAAAGAAAAAGATAAATCAAAATTTAGTTTTCCAAATATGAGGTAATATCTTCAAGTTCCTTCAAAAGGAATTCTATTTGCTGCAGTGGTTTTGTGTAGTTTCTGTGGAATGTATAGCAATACACTAATTTATTTATTTATTTATTCTCTTTATTTGTGACAAAGATAAATTAAAATTTAATATTTCCAAATACAAAACTAATTTTCTCAAGTTCCGCCGAAAGGAACTTCTGTTGCACGCAGCTGTTCGGTGCTATTCTCTGTGAAATGTCAGTTGCCTGCGCTCGTACGGGTTTATTGTCGTTGCTGGCTGATTGGCGTTGCGGACAACATTACGAGATGAACCGAACGCGATAATTAATTATTCCCGCCCGGTGATAATTAATTTCGTACACGGCACACGCATGCCGGCGCGCGGCGTCGCAGCTGCAATAGCAAAATTAGCGGCGCACACAATGCAGCCCGTGCTCATTACAGTTAATCAGTTGGACTGTCGTGGGACAATCGATACGATTATCTGTCACTCACTACCGACCGGTGACGCTAATAAGATATCAAACGCGGTATTGTGTAACGCTTGAAAAATTAGGTTCTAGTTGAAATTAAAGAAATAATCGCCGATTGCGACAACGGGGGGAGTATACATGTGTAAGTGCGTCACTTGATCGCGGCGGCGATCGCGAGCGGGGGATAATAACGCGCGATTAATGCTTTGACTATTTAAATATGGACCGCTAGTCCCTTCACTTTTTTTACTATATAAAAGACATATGCCCGGTGTTGCCGAGCTGAAGTTTGTTGAGATATCGAACTTCGATAGTTAGGCTCCACCCTAGTCAGTAAAAAAATGTCAAATATGTCAAAATGTATAATTAAGTGTTATGTTGAAAATTGATAGGGAGTCGGAAAAAATCTCAAATCGATGAAAAGAAATTAAAAACAAACTCAGCACCTTTTTTTTACACGTCGTAAACATACTGATTTCACAGGAGCCTTCTTCCCCCCCC